AGGATTATTGTGAAGTAGAAATGAGAATATGGTCAGAAAGCACTTACCATAGTGCTGGCAACATAATAAAGGCTCAATAAATGTTAGATTTCTTTTTTTGAACTTTTGAACTGATATATTAGTTTCATTCTTTCTGCATTAAAATTTAAGCTTCATGAATCATAAAAGTCTTGAAAGTCTGTCTACCACTACCTTCCCTCATGGATGAGAGACAGCTTGATTTTTGTAGACATTCAGGAAATATTTTTTTCTTATTAATTTTATTGAGAAACAAATAGCAATGAGACAGTTTCAAAACTGATTAGTAGGACAGTTTCAATGATTAATACATTGCATATTGTTGCCTTCATAGTGGTTATTCATAGTTCAAGATGCAGACATGGTATCCTATCCAAACACTATTAGTACAAATCTTTCATTCTAGGAGAATGTGGCTATACATCTAGCCTAACCATTTAGAATACACAGATACAAAATGGACATTCGTCTATATCCTCTTTTTTTGTTCAGTTCCATCATTTAAATATTATAGGTGTGTGAACTCAGCAAAATATTCCAAAATAGCCCAGTAGTCCATAATAGTATTGGGTCTTCCACTTGACTGACAATATCAGAAGTTGTTGACCTGAGTCCCCTACAGCTCAACATAACAACATGGCTTTATTTCTTGTACCTCACTTTTATACTTTTCCGCTGGATGGTTAAGACTAAGCTAAAGCAAGATCAGGAAATATTTTGAAGAAATGAAAGCATGGGTGTCACCTGAGAGATATGCTACATAAACTACTCCTAAGAGCTTCTCATTTCGAAAGTGGCCAGCATAATCTGCATTTGTGGATGCAGTAACTCTGAGTATAAAAACACACTTTAGAGTGGAGCCTGCATTTCAATTTTGAGAGCGTCTATAATGGCCACATTTATTTGTTGCTTCTATCTGTTATTTTTCTTAATGTATATTCAAACTTTCATTTATAAACAGCACAAATTATGATGATTTGATAATGAAAAGGATGAAGCCCACTATTGCGTTCTACATGTTGTAAATGCATTTACCACTCCTACTTCTGAGTGCTGTTTATTAAATGTAACGCAATCTTAGAAGGACAAATTAAATATATGAAATAGAAATTTCCATTTGCATCTTAACAAACTATAAATCAGCATTCAACCTGGATATATATTTGCTAGGCTAGCTAAGTATTATAGAAGTAACCGGAGGGATCTTAACAAAGATATTTCTGATTCCATCACCAGATATTTTGGAGTATAGTTTGGTTTAAAGAAAGGGAACAGATTTCTTCTGTCATCCAGCCAATATGTATCTCAGTCTGCAGCAGGTGATTGAAATCAGCTGTAGCTAAGTACTGGCAGATATGCCAAGTGCGATGGAAATCTTCTTCATTTTTGTTGCAAGTACTGAGTTAGTCCTGGGTTTTAGGAAATGGATTCATCAGACTTGTAAACTACATTAGCTGTGTAAAAAAGAAGAAATTCTGGGGCCGGTGTGATGGCCCAGTGGAATAAGTGCTTCCCTGGCAAGCATAAGGACCTGAGTTCAATCCCCGGTTCCGCAAAAAAAAAAAAAAAAAAAAAAATTATCTTGGATTTGTTTCATGCTCACTGGCTTAGCTATTTCCAGAATTTGTGTGATATGGATATTTATTTATTTGTGTGTGTGTGTGTGTGTGTGTGTGTGTGTGGCCAGCTCAGCCCACCAGAGAGCGGGGCTGGCTGGCATGTGGTGCTGGGGGATTGAACCGCGGTCCCTGTGCTTTGCTTAGCTTAGTTTGTTCTAGGTAGGTGCTTTAGACCACTAAGCCATCTCAGCAGCCCCTGATATGGATAATAATTTTAGACAGATATGTAAAGATATTCACTCCAGATATGTATATCTTTGGCAACTTTATCTACCATATTAGTTTTCTATAGGCAATTTTCAATCATTCAAGCCTTTCATTTACTACCAGCCTCATCATCTTCTATTTCCTGAGGATAGTAAATTTTTCTTACTTCCTATTTGTCTGGTTGAAGAGAAGAATGAGCACTGTTTCTACCCTTCTGATGGGATGCCTGTTTCTGTTGTTTATGTTTCAGTTTCCACAAATTATGAAGAAAATTAATGATCTTATCGAGAAATACAGAAACACATCCTGGAAGCTTCATGCAGGTAACAGCGAGTTCTTTATTGACTACCTTTTCATTTATCTAGGACTCATTGTTTCCTTAGCCATATCTACAACCATGTGTTTTCCGTTAATCTTTTCTCTTTGGAGACACCACAAGCAGATGCAACTGAATGTCACATGAGTCAGAGGGTTCAACACAGAAGCTCACGTGAAAGCAGTGAAGGTTTTATTGCTTTTTATCATTCTTCAGGCCTTGTATACTCTAGGCATTGTCATAGAAGTGTCATGGGGTATTGTGCCAGAAAATGAACCTCTATTTCTTTTTGGCTTGATAAACACAGCCATCTCTCCCCATGTTCACTCATTTATTCTTATTCTAGGAAACAGCCAGCTGAAGCAAATCTCACTGAGGATAGTACAGCGCTTAAAGTGCTGTAGGAAAGATAGACTCCCAGGGCAACGTAGAGAGGCTTGTAGCAAAGTGGATATTCTAGGACAGCAACTTCATACGAGATTTAATCACATGTCAAATTCCTTGGCTCAGTCAAGTTCCTGACTTTGCAACTTCTTTCAGCATAATTCTCAAAGGAAAATCACCAGCTGAGAGACTCTTCTGAATAAAGACAGCTAAGGTGGGAGGAACATCTACAAGACTCCACTGTGCTTCACCTGGCCTCCCTGAAGCAGTGGCATCCTTCCCATATGAAGCCCCTCAGAAAAAGAAACCAAGACCAAAAAAAGTTATGATTAATTTTGGCATTTAGAATATAGAAGTAAGGAACAGCAAAGGATGCCTCTGTGTGTGTGTGTGTGTGTGTGTGTGTGTGTGTGTGTGTGTCTGTGTGCAATTTAGTTCCTTAAAAAGTTGCTGTAATATCAGTATTTAAATCCTGGGGCTGGAGAGATGGCTCAGTGGTCTAAAGCACCTACTTGGAACAAGCTTGGCAAAGCACAGGGACCACAGTTCAATCCTCCAGCATCACATGCCAGCCAGCCGCACCCCCTGGTGGGCTGAGCTGGCTACACACACACACACACACACACACACACACACACACACACACTAAATAAATGTTTAAAAAAGAATATCCAGGAATATTTAAAAAATAAATAAATAAATAAATAAATCCTATGGTCATTTTTTACTGCTGTATGTTTCATGGAGTAGTAATACTCATAGTAATGAGTATGGATGTGTGGACGTAGTACTATGGATGGGTGTGGTACTAGGAAAAATGTCAGAGGAAAGTACCTGGAGGAAGGGGTCAGAGCACTAATGAAATGAGTCTTAGTTCTCCAGGGACAGAAAGACCCAACATGACCACTGATCAGGGGACAAAAGATTGAATGTAAGATAAAATCTGTGTGAAGTATGAGAGGTTCAGTTGTAGGGAGTCACACACACACACACACACACACACAGAGTACACAAACTTGCAGTCAGAGACATATTACAAATGTTGATTTGAAAAGTAAATTTTACATTCAACCCATGACATGAGCTTAGTAACTTGTTCTGTCAACTTCCAAAGATGCATTGATATTCTCATGACCTCGTGCCTGGAGTTTCGCTGAAAGATCAGCACTTGTTTCATTTACTGCATGAGGTTTCTAAACAAATATTGTTATATTTTTAGCTTAATATGCTTGGGGTGTATTGATAATTAAGAGATAATGGGAAAACAGCAGCAGTAACAACATATCATAGTACACAATTTCAACCAAATTTACCAAGTTTATTTGAATTTATATTGTGTAACTAACTATGCCTTCTACATAGACTACATTAGAAGTTATTTATCTTTCTTTTTTTGTATATATTTGGTACAGGGTCTCACTATGCAGCTCAGAGTCGTAGTGATCCTCCTGTTTTCAGCCTCCCCAGAGCTGGGATTACAGGCATGCACCATCACACCAGGCATAGTGTCTGGCTCAGGGCACCCAGGGGTGGGGCTGGCATGGCATGTGGTGCTGGAGATTGAACCCCAGTCCCTGCACTTGCCTAAGCAGGCACTTAGTCTGCTGGGCTATCTAGTTGGCCCTAGAAATTATTTATTTTTCAATGGCTTAAAATTCATTTGCAATCATTACTTTAAGGGATACATAATAGCTTATCTTGCAGGTATATATTGACATATTTAATCTTTGTCATATTCTTTACATTTAGCTTGGCTTTATTTGTTTATTGTTTCAAATAAATATTGTGAAGCAATAGTAACACTAACATTCGAGGCATTGAAAATGTCTATTACATAATAATGAATAGATAATCCATTTTCTTACAATTTCAATGTTATTAACTTATTTTAATGCTTGGCTGGACAAATAGCTCAACAGATTAAAGTACTTGCAAGCAGGCACAGGGACAAGGGGTTTAATCCCTGGGCTGGGTGCGCTGAGACAGTAATTGAGATTGGGCGTGGTGGTGGTGTGCCCCTTAACCCCAGCTCATTGGAGGCTGTAAACAGGCGAATTGCTACAAGTCCAATCTAGTAGTGAGACCCTGAAACCCTGTAGACCCTTCCCTAAAATACAGAAAAAAAAAATTTTTAATGCTGTTACTTTTGATCATAAAAGGTCATTTTAAATTTTGTGTATATTTAATTGTTAGTGTGGTTAAATTTTTTTTTTTTTTTGAAAAGGGAAAAGGGCTTTATTATAAAGGAAAAGGGACTTCATTATCTTAGAGGACACGGAGAGAATTTGGGAAGATAAGGAATTCTCTGGATTGGAACAAAGGGAGGCTGAGGCTTTTATGGCCTTTGCTGGGGTGGGGCTTGAGGGGGAAGTTTAGATAGACCTGAGGAGCTGATTGGGGCCTTCCCTGAGATGGAGAGAAAGGTGAAAGGAAACTGCATCCTGGGCTGAGTTGGAGAAGCAGGGGAAGGTGGTCTCTGGGAAGATGAGCTGTTATTTTAAGGGCTTCAGCCATATTAGGTGACCACCATAATAATTCAGCAATTCTTACTAGGGCCATAACCTATCATTCCCATCTTTTGGTTATTATAAAGGGGGTGATGTATCTCTTAGACTGCTTCTTGCTGAACTGGGACATTGTCTTGGGGATGAGGGGAGTTGACAGAATGATGGTTTATGCCCATGTAGAAGTTAGTGCCAGGAGTCTCAGCTAGGACTAGAGGTTTATAGTTAGTGAGGCTCACATTGGATACGGAAGAAACCTTGAAAAAAGTATAAAAAGACAGCACATTATGAGTACATGTCATCATGATTAAAGGACATAGGAGGGGAAGCAAGGGGGGGGTCTATAATCTGTGTCATTTTACCATGACCATGCTGAAGAGGAGCAGTATTGATCTTTAGCTTTTTTTTTTTTTTTTTTCGGAACCGGGGATTGAACTCAGGCCCTTGCACTTGCCAGGCAAGCACTTATTCTACTGAGCTATCTCCCCGGCCCTGATCTTTAGCTTTTTGACATCAATGTGAGGAAAGGGAGTCAGTGCCATCTGTAGTACTGTAGCACAACTGTATTTTGTTAAAGTCAATTTTTTTGTCTCTTTTTTTAATTTTTTTTTTAATTTTTTGTCTCTTATGTGTTTGTGTGGAGACATGGAGTCTACCTACCAACTGTATTGTCTATAGTTGTTTAGAAAGGTAGGCTACTGCCTAAAAAGATGGTCTCTTTTTATGTCATAAAATGCTGACTGTATTGTGACCTTGAAAAGAAGTACATAGGGTAAAGGGCTGAGTTGGTTTGGATAAAGACAGCTGGGACTCTTGGGAGGGCTTGTTGTAGCTTGCAAAAGGGGAGATATGTAGGAGCAGTCAGGTCTAGGGGTTCTCACAAAGAACCTTTTGATGCTCTATATAGGGGCTCTGCTAGGGAAGCAAAATTGGGAACCCAGAGATGAAAGAAGTTAGCTAAACCAAAGAAGGATAAAACCTGCTATTTTGTGGTGGGCAGTGATTGCATGATTAGTGGGAGTGAGGGTCTTAGATACTTGACTTTTGGTGAAGCTATCTGAGCTTTGGAGGGAGAGACTGTGTAAGCTGGTCCTGGCAGAAAATTGAGAAAAGTAGCTGTTTGTCTTAGGACCAGGGCATGGGGGGGGGGCAAAGGAAAAGGTCATCGATATATTGAAGGAGTGACTGGGCTAGAGATCAAGGGTCTTAAGATCAGAAGCAAGAGGTTGGCTAAAGAAGTGAGGACTATCTCTGAACCCTTGAGGTAGGGCTGTCCATGTGAGCTGTTGAGATCAGAGAGTGTCTGGTTAATTCCATGAGAAGGCAAAGAGGTCATTGGGTTTGAGTACAGGAAGAATAAGGGTATTATATAGAAAGTGGATATTTTTAAGAAAACTATTGGTAAGGAGGTGGAGAATGATGGGTTTAAGTCTCTTGGTGTTTGGGGGCTATTGGGTATTGGGGAAATGTATGGAAACACTGCGGGATCACTGAGGCACACTAGTCTAGAAATAGCATGTGTGGCATGAGTGGGACTGGAAGTGTCTCAGAGCATATGGTTGACAAGGGAAGAGGGAGGGAGGAGCTAGCTGTACATTGAGGTTGGGTTTGTAGGATATACACTGTGGGTGGAGAAAAAGGTGAGAGAGAAGTGGAGTTTTTGGAGGAGGTCTCTCCCCATGGGAGATATGGGACATGTTGGGGTCACAATTTCCTTAAGAGTGAAGAACAGTGTCTGAAGTTAGCACGGAATGGGCCTGTCTGAAGGGGTCATGTAGGTCGGCCATCAACACCCACTATGGAGACTAGAGCTAATATAACAATTGTAGAACTCAGGAAGAACACTGTGTGTGGTCTCTGTGTCAGCAAGAAAAGAGGGTTTTTTTGTTTGTTTGTTTGTTTGTTTGTTTGTTTGTTTTAACCTGAGATATCCAGCGAGACTTGGAACTCAACAAATTTGCCTCAATGTGGGCCAGGGAACCCAAGCTCTGTTGTTGCTCTTCAGCAGCAAGACCAAGCAGCTCAAGTATACGGATCTGGCCGTAGTGAGGTTTCCTGTGAGGGTAGGTAATTGGATGATTTACCCGCTCTCTGGCGGACAGGGCAGTCGCATTTCCAGTGACCCTCAGGCTTGTAGATGTCCTAGTGATGGCTGCAGGTTGGGGCAGGCTTATGCCCAGTGTCCTTCCTCACCGCACTTGGCTCTGGTGGCAGCATTGTTTAGGCTCAGCATTACCTTGTCAAGGTCCTGCTCTGATGGGAGTCCTGAGTGTCATAGCCAAAAGTTGGCAGTATATATAATTAATTTTGGTCTCTATTATTGAAGACATGGAAGGTTAGATTAAGTACGTTTCCTTTGGAGTTTGAGGGCCGAGATTTGTGTTTTTAGCTTTGCATGAATATCAGGAACAGACAGAGATATAAAATAGGAATTAATAGGAATTGGTGCCTTAAGAGAACCTGGGTTTACATCAGTATACTTAGTTTGGAGCAATACACTCGATTATTAGAATTTATCTGAGTATCAAGTATCTTGAAATATAAAGTGTAATCAGAGAACTATTATTTCTTACCAACCATGGACATTTTAGCAGTTAAATCCCAGTAGGATGTTAATGAACAACAGTTACATAA